AATTAGTTTAATAAATATAATTAATTTAGACTATTTTAAAGTTATATATTATTATTATTCTAACATGTAAGTAACAAATTCTAATTATTTTAACAAGTTTACTTGATTATGGCAATAACTATTACACATAATATTATTTTATAACACATTCCTATTTTATTAGCAAGTTTCTACCCAACATGGACAAGACAGAAACACTTGTTTACCATTAATTTCTAATATTACTAACTAGAAAGTAACATACATAATAAAGGTCATGGTAAAATCTCCCTACCAATATATATAATGGTTACCATAATTATAACATTGTTACCATGATGATACACATACAAATAAGTAAATAAGTAAAAATAATATTATATGTAACAAAATAGTGATATAATGTAAAAAATATATAATTAAATTTAATATACCAATAGAGATAAAAGTGTAATATAATTCGAAAAATAAATATATTATTTATAATATTTATCCATTACGTGAATTAGATTTCCACAAACCACATTTTATATTTAAATAAATAACATAATCTAGATCAGTGGTTAACCTGTAACCTAACACATAATTTATATAGGCTTGAATATAATATAATATACACACCCCAAACTAATATATTAAAACCATCTTGCCTATCTATTGATCTACTACAGCCATACATTTTTAATGATTGATTTAAATAGGTAACATTATATTTTAAACCAACCTGTCCTATTTTCATATGTATTAAATGACTAGATGGAACAATGCAGTTACAATCATTCTTATGCACAAATTCAATTGGACCACTAGTTGCCATAATCTGCAAAATAAATATTTTTCATCTTTAATAAATTTGTAAGTATTCAAATATTTGAATATTTAAATAAGTAAGTAAAAACTTACTGAAGTACTTAGCAATACATACAATTTTATATAAATAGGTCAGTTATGAGATAAGAATATTTTATTTATACAAATTCTATCAATAATTAATTTTACAATGAAAGTCCAAATTAAATACCTACAAATAATAATTAGTTATTCTCAAATAATATTAATAGATTTCGAAGAGCATGGGTTATTTTTTATCTAGATATTGATAACAATAAGTATTTTACTAATAGGAATTAATATAAATTAAAGAATAATCAATAATTACACATTCAATGATGTATTTTATTTTTTAAAAATAATTTAAACAAAAATTTTCAAATTTGAAACTTCTTACTCATCTAATTAATATAGTCTATTAAAGTAAAAATCATAATTTCCTTAAATTATTGAAGCAAATGTAATTATATAATATTCATAGTTACTAATTGAATAATATTATTAAGTAATTTCACAAAATCAATTTGATTTTTACATTTGAATCGAATAATTATAAAATGAATTATTAATATGCAACTTTTTATTAATTTAACACAGAGCAGTAAAAACTTTTGAATCATTAACATTTAAAACCAAATCAAATATACGTCTTAAAAATAAAAGTCAATTTATCTTTTTACCTTGAAATAGGAATCCACATAAACGAACTGGTATTTACCAGAACAATGAATAAATTTAGCGAAAAGTCGTGGTACAAATCTAATTTTAAAACAACTACCATCCATCCTTGGGTGGTCCATGACGTATTCAAATATCAACGGTTCGTAAAGTTTTATATCGTCGCACGGGTACAATCCGATCCAATCTTTGAGCAACGGTCTGGTTTTCTAAACAGTACACAAACGAAACGACGCGTGAAGACTAAGTGATACGTGTAGAACCGGCAACTTACGTTTTTATCGTAGTAACAGTCCAGTACGAGGATCTTGTCTTCGACGAAGTACCGTCTGTTGGCGGCCAACACTACGGGAGGCGCTTCGGCGTTCTCGAGCATGTTCGGACGAGGAGAAAGAGCAACGTAAAAACGGTATCGCGGAGACGACAATGCGAGATTGATTCGGGGGAACCAATAGTATTAACAGCAAATACAACGAATAATTAATAGATGCGACAAACGGTATCGTTGCATAACAAAATATACAAGTGCAACGGTGCGCTACGACACTAGACAACGGACACGGGCGGCCGTACCGGGTCTCTGTCACTGCAAGACTAAAATAATAAACTTGAACAGGACATGGACTGCGGGACGGACAGAAGTAACCGGACGCGTGCGAGACGAACTGGTAGAAAACACGGAATTGCTATAAACTGTGGTGGTGGAGCTTTTATCTTATCGAGCCTTATCCGTCGGGCGCCGATTCGATCTGTTCCGTGCCATTACCAATTGTTATTTTTTTCCGTAATAGCTGCTTTCGTTTTCTTTCGAATGGTAATAAACAATATAAATCGATAATAATGATGAATTTAGTCGTGAACACCGACACGATCGTGGCAAACTAACGGATACAATAATTTATTAATAATCAACAACAAATAATTTAACGAATACACATACGTACACGGAAGACGTATATCGTCATTATATTTTATTATGGCTTTCGATAATCCCGCATTTCGTAACGATCATTGTTCCACCCCTCCCCTACCGTATCAAAACTCCATTATAAATAACAATAATAATAATAATGCAATCGAACAAAGGCCGGTTTTGTTTTCAATTTGGTCCTCAAGTTATTTAATTATTAAATTACTCATCACTCTTTATTATTATGAACATATTATGAATGTGTGCAAGTGCTGGTGTTCGGCGTATCAGTTTTAATTGTAACGGGTGAACTTTGAATGTGCCGCAGCCATCAAGGAGTGGATCATTAATCGCACGGTTAAACAATTATTGTAACGATAATTGGTATACATAAAATATTGCTTTTAATATCTTTACGAATTTAATATGATAATTAATCATCATGGAATATTTAAATTATAAACAATGTAACAAAAAACAATCAAACTGAAATTGTACACGTAAAATGGTCATTTGCAATCGACGTAACACTGAATTTTTGGGACAATACATACACGTTTCGAATGGAAAACGTTCAAACACTATTACCATAAAAATAGTTGACTATCCATAAGCGTGTCTATGGATCGTGCCTCTCATGTACAGACACGACCTGCACAATTTAACTTTAATTGTATTATTAACATAGGCGTGTCCAGACCTCCATGACTGGGGAGGCCAGTTATAAAATTTAAATTTTTTACTTACTACAGCGATCTATAATCTATATCTATGTTTGCGACTTATTTTTGTTGTATGGAAATTATATAGCACCTGGAATTTTTTCACCCCGTCAAAATTAAAGATTTTCTTGATCTTAAAATTTGTTTCCTATGCTATTACAAATATGAACTAATAAATAAGGCCTATTAACTGATGTGCTTCTTATTTATTTTTTTATAAATATTTTATCAATTATACATCAACCTTCTATATAAAGAATATATATATAGATATGTATACACATCTTATTACAGTTATTACAGTTATTTATCAGTTTGTTTAAACAAGTAATTTATTAAAATATTACAAATAATAAAATTCAATAAATTTAAAATTTAAATTCACCTTCTACCTAAAATTACCTACTGTTACTGTTTCAGCCACGGATATAGATACTATATAATCGTGGTTTCACCATTAGAAGCCAAGAGGCCAAGAACGTCACTGGGGAGGCCGGTGCCCACGTAGACACGCCTCTGATTATTAATTAATGCTAGTTTAAAATTTCACACACTCGCGCCTAACGAAGATACAAATAGGGACGTGCACATAGATACTCCGACGGCCAGCGGTAGCCGCCGGAAATACCAATCCTGTTATCGTACTCCATGGGTTGTTTTTAATAATAATATATATTTATTTTGGCTTATAACGTATTTTTAATGTCATAATAAATTAAACAATATTTTAAACAAAAATACATTATGTGTTCAATTTATTATAGGCAGTTTTTTAATTAATTATTTAAATTTGTTAACTACAAAATAAACACGTACAACCAAAATCATCAATATTAGAAGTAATACACACTGCCACCCATTCAAATAAATCATATGATCCCGTGTCAATAGCAAAATTAAATTTGATTGAACAGTTTGTACTAAAAAAAAAATAGTTTATTTTTCCTAAAACAAATTGAAGGTCTTGTCAATCAAAATGGTTTGAAAAATATTCCTGGCTTCATTATGTAAATGAAAAATATATGGTTTTATGTTACCCTTGTGTTTTAGCTTGTCAAAAAAAAAAAAATCCACATTACATTCACAAGATGCATTTATTGACAATGGTTTTCAAAATTGGAAAAAAGCAATTAAAAGGTTTTCTATTCACGAAAAAAGCGAAAATCATCGATCTTCAATAGAGTTTTTTTAACTTCATGAAAATGTTCGTCCTATTATTTCTTTACTAACAGAACAGTAAGTAAATGAACAAGAAGAAGCTCATTAAGTATTCAAAGTAGTAATAAGTTCAATTTGATATCTAGCCCGTAGTGGCTTAGCTATCCATTGTGGTGCATGGAATTTTGGAAACTTAATTTATTTACTACAAGAACGTTCACTTAAAACCCTGCTTTGAAGTTGTGACTTGAAAAACGAAATAATTGGCCAAGTGGAGATATTCAAAATGAAGTACTCGAAATCATGGCACATTTCATCTTACATAAAATCAAAGATTATATTGTAAAAGTCCATTTATAGCTATTATGGCTGATGGCTATACAGACGTGTCTGGTGATAAACAATTTGTACAGTATTTGTGTTCGTTACGTAGAACCAATTTCCCTAAAAATTAATTAGGTTTTTGTAGGAATGTATAATCCACCCAGTGCAGACGCAGCGATATTGTTTTCTCATATAAATAATTTATTAGTGTGCATGTGTCTCAGTTTTAAAAAGTTAGAGGACTTTGTTTCGACAAAGCTGTAAATATGTCTGGCTGAATTAGTAGAGTACAAAAACGAATTTCTGATGTTCAACCCAAATCTATTTTCATTAATTGCTCAAATCATTCATTGGACTTGGCTTTATGTAATACTTAAGACTGTAGCCAATGACACTCTAAATATCGTAAGATTTGTAAGCATTACCATATAAGATTCAGCAAAATGAAAAAAAAAAATTTTCTAGTGCTGTTTTCCCTTCCTCTTCAAATGATGAAAATATTCATGAGCACCAAAAAATGCCAGGAATTATTTCGCTTTATCCAATACGATAAGTAGTTTGAGTAAAATCGATTAACAGATTTATACAAAACAATGAACGAATTATTTTAACAGTTGGAGACATTTTAAAAGAATCAAATTCAATTACTAAAACAGACGTGCAACTCTACGAGGATATGAGATAAAGTTTTGGAAATTCAAAACTCTTTTCACTGCATTCTATATCATTAATTTTTTATCCATGTGAACAATTAGCTACTGTCCTACAAATCCCATTGTATATAGCTAGTGGTGCAAAACATGCATCTAATATATTAATTAACACTCTTGAATGTTTTCGCAATGATTCGGTTTTTGATGATGTTTGGAATAAAACAAAACAGCAAGACGACTACCTAGATATTGAGTTACCACAACCACTCAGAACTCAAAAGGTTCCTGCTAGGTTTGAATATTCAGTAACACCTCCAGTTAACATCGACGGAAAAACAACTTGTTAGTATTGGTTAGGTAAAGGAATACCCGAGCCCATGCGTTTATACTTTAAAACTTTTGAAGGTGCTTTTAAATTTTTTTTTTACATTTGATATAAGCGCATCTACTTTCGGAAAATGTTCTCGCACTTCTTCAGATACCTACTTTACGTAGACCATGTGCAAGGCAAGTGACGTGTTTCATTTTTTAGTATAAAAATTTTATGTTCTTACCTGCTTTAACCATGTATGGAGCTGTATCACTGACGAACATTATCGTGTTTCACTCCGTTTGGCCATACAATAGTCATCGATTTGTCGAATAATTTTGTAGTAGTGCTATTATTAGCTTTTTCCAGTACTTCGAAATTTAATAAAAAATTATTTTCTGGCTCAGATATTTCCAATGTACCAACTACCTATTACATTGGCGACATAACGACCTTCCACGTCAGAGATCCCATCAATACTAACTCATATTTTTTTATTTTCAATATACTTTCGAATAGAATCAATAGTTTCATTAAAACATTGATCTACATAATTCTTTCATAATGTAGACTCATTTGGTATATTTTTCTAAAAAGTTACAAAATAATTTGTTCTTCAATCGAATGGAATATTCGCAGATAGCATAGCCATATAAAGTTGTTTATTAATCGAATAATTATCACTGCTTAACACGTTACTTAAAATTTGTTGTGGTTTTTCATTATTTTATTTTGCATTATGATATTATGCATTAATATATTTTTCGGCGTAGGGAAAGTGGCGCTTCCATCGCCCACTGTACTTGATAAGTGCACTGCAGTTGGCTTTCTCTAACCTTAATTGGTTGGGGTTGTCTTGTCCTCCAGGTTGGAGATTGATCGATGGGTCAACAACCCACCATCGTAAAAAAATAGCGTTCAGAAATTCAACATCTTGCCCCGGGACAAAGTAATGGAATCTTGACTGGAAAACTGGAAATAGGCTCTACGTTTTGGGACATGGAAAATATGTACTTTATATCAATCAGGAGCAGCTTTAACATTAGTTAAGGAATTTAATAAATATAGACTAGAAATTTTAGCCATATAAGAAATAAGATGAAACGGACAAGGCTCTACAGAAATAGGGAATGCAATATTTTTTTTGGGCCAACGTGATAATCATAGATATGGAGGCACCGGTCTCATCATTAAAAAAAATGTACCCGCAATTTAAAGATTTCAATACTTTGAAACACTTGTACAAGTACAGTATATAAGATACAGTATTAAAATACTGTTGGTTATTTTTTTTTGTGTACACGAACAATTTGTAATCACTTTTGACCCCCTCATAACTCAAAAACTATTTTACATAAATATGTCAAACTTGGCTCATATATTTAGACTTTCGAGTATATGTGTATATATATGTATATATAAACGGTTATTTAGATATTAACGTCCAAAAATCATCATTTTTATCACTGATTAACCTGTAGATAAAAATCTTAACCCAGATTCAGATGACCTAAAAACTTCAAATTTGACATTCAGATAGGTAGTTGGTTGAATACAAAAGATTAAAACAGAAACTATGACATTTTTAACATTTTATTATAATATTTTAATTAATTGATTCTATTGTTAATACTTAACTTACTTATAATGCCTGTAATGTAATTTATTCTAATGTAAGAATCTTATGACTATGAATTACTTATTATTAAATTGCATACACGTCTGATTGCATTAAGTCTAATGTATTGTCTATACAACACTTCTTAGAATATGAATGACTTGAACCACCAAAAAACTTACACCTGTGGTATAAGAAATATAATTTAGTTTGAAGTGCAAAGGGAGGGCACTTGCACCCCTCTCGCTACGCCCATGGTTGCTAGTCTTTTATACTTAATTGTTCAATATCAAGTATATTCTATAAAAACAATAATTAAATTTTATATTTTATAGTCAACAGATATTTAGCCTTTAATTACTAATACAAGCAAAGTATAAGAACGAGCAATCAACAAATTCCGAACTACTCGTAACAGATACCAGTGACAGGAAGTGAACAACCTTAGTATAGCTTTGGAGAACTTCGAAGATAGGGCATTGTAGATCATATTTTAATTAAAACCATTGTAACCCTTATGATTTGGATTTGAATCAGAATTTGTGTTATTAAAGTTAATGTCTATGATGAGTTTCTTGATAGAGTAGGATAAGGACAACCTGGTAGTGAGTTTGCAAGGTCTGAGTTCTAGTTTTTATTTTCTGAAGTGTGAGGTTCTTTTTCTTGGGGGAAGGGGATAGAGCGTTTCTAGGTCAAAATAGCAAAATAATTAAACGCAAATATGAAAATTGCGAATTGTAAAATAAGCGATCATGCATAATTGAGAAATTGCAATTTTTTGTCATTTCTATTTTGAATACTATACATATTAATATAGTACTTGGATAATTTTCAAAACTTATAAAACTATAACTTATTTTATAAATAATTAGTATTTTTAATAATATAATAAATATTCTTTAGGAGGAAGCCACCGTACTATATGAAAATGTATTTATGTATAATAATAGAGAAATTTCGAAATTTATAAGAATTAAAACGAGAACAGTATAATTCTGAAGAACAATCAGAAATGAAAAAAAGTTCAGACTGTGCTGAAACATTTTATTTATTAATTACAAATTATAATACTAATGATAATAATAACTTTGTAAATGGTATAGCATATAGTTTTTCACTAAATGCCTGATTGTATATTTTCGCTATTATATATTTTTGCTCTTTTTTATAATACACTGTTTTTATTTTCGCCATTATTAATTCGTGGTTATTGTTTCGCTATTTTAGCTGGATAGAACTACACATGGTTTTCATAACATGGCAAGAGTACGAACTCTTTGTCCTTTTACGTCCCGTGTGGTGGCTAGCAATTCGATATTTACGTAGCAGGTTCGTGATATTACAAAGCTACATTCGTCGGTAGAGTGTGGGACTACTATCAGTGGTGTATTTGGACAAGGATGTGAGAGGCTTTGGAGTAAATGAAGTGAAAGCATAGTTTCGAAAATTCCAAACAATAATACAAATAACGTAAAATCGCTTTTATAACCAACAGTAATTCAATCAAACATATAAACAATAAAACTAAAAATATGGTTAAATGTGTACTTAAAGTATGATGAAAAATGCGTTTGTGGTTTATTCTTGTAGTACAAATTCATCTTGAAAGGAAACAAGCGATTTTCAAACGAGCAGACTGAATAATGTGTAGGGTAAAAGTTGTAGGTTATTCATAATGTATTATCCTTGGTGTTTAATTAGAACTAGAAATTATATAACATGATCCATTTTTATTTTTACTTTATTTTAATAAAATTATTATTTTTTACACTTATAAATGATTAATCAAAATACTAAACATAACAAAGTGTATGCATTTTTAAGCCTTCCATAAATTAATTTACAAAATGTCATTGCAGGTGACCACTGTTTTTGGAGGACCTCAATAGAAATCATTTTTTATATTGATATATATTTATATACTGATCAATATATTTCAATAAAAATAATTGTACAAATCTTGCCCGTCAGAACATTGACCGCATGACAGACTAATCATTTCTACCCCGTATTAAAATATAAAAAAATATAACAGACAGGAAAAAGAAAATATATATCTGTATTTAAAATATAAAACCATAAAACAAGACAAATTATGCATCATAAAATGAGTATTATTAGATTTAGTAGAACATGTCTAATTTGTATCCAGATCCTAATTAAAAGGGACTAATCGAAAAAAATATGCAATTGAATATGCAATGAATGCTTGTATATATGCTTGTGTATTTGGCATAAAAAAAAGAGAAAAATAATTTTAGAAAGATTAAAATTCTGTACAAAAAACCATGAAAAATATTTATAAAACAATTATTATTATGGTAAGGTAAAAACAATAAATGGTAATACTGCAAGTGTAGTATATTTTTTATACTCAATAGAACTGTTATATTAAATACTGTAATAAAATAAAAAAAATTATAATGTATTTAAAAATAAATCAAGTTTATATTTTTATCTAACAAAAGTAATTTTAATCGGAGTCTATAAAATCTTTAAGCATTTCATTAACATTGTTATCTTCAATCTCATCATTTTCATTATGACTTGAAACCTCATGTTTTCCAATATTATTTTCAATATCCATTGCTTCAATAACATTATTTACATATATAGGTGCTTGTTTACTCGTTTCAGGAATAACTGGTTGAATACATTTTTTTTTTTCAGTTGACTTAAGATCTTCATTAATTTTTTCACTCAAATTATTATTTGTTAGAGAAATCGTTATGGTTGGATTAATATTATCAGTATCAGAAACTTGGAGATGTTTTGCTTTATTAGACACCATTGAATCTACAACTATTTCATTTAAAAAATGAGTTTTATTTTCTGGTAAAGCATTTTGCTCAGATTGTGGTATTTCTATTTCATTTTCAAGAGGAAAAAATAGTGTATCATTACGTGGACGAATTATGTGTTCAAGTTTACTTAATGATGATCTGCAAACTTCTTTTATCTGAATTTCACAAAAAAAAAAAAAAAAAAACTAATATGTATAAAATATAAATTGAAAACAAATCATATTTAAAGGTGAAGAGATATAATTTCTCATATGAGTTTAATGTATCATAATAATATCATAAGTAATTATTTAAATATATTTATCAATAACTTACTTTTTCATTGTGGTCTGTTGTACCAAAATTAAAAAGACGTAATGCAACACAAGTTTGTGTAATACATTGTGGATGTGGTGAGATTATTAATGATAGCAATGATTTGTATAAATTCTGTCTACAAGAATCATCATAGTAAGGCAGAGGATAATCATTAGGTTTTTGACATTTAATAATTTCCAAAAGCAAATTTATAATGGTACTTTGAAAAATCTAAAAAGGTAGACATACATATGAATATATTTTTAAAACATTTTTTTATTGCAAAAATAATAATACTTTAAATTGCATGGGTTTTAAATCTGAAGACAGGGTATTTAAAAATAATTGAAGAGTTAAATGAGCTGCGTTACATATATTTTTATTAGCATGATAGTCATGCATAACAATTGTATCCCGTTGATTTATTATTTTTTCATTTAATGCACCACTTTTTCTCTTTTTATTACCAGTTTGTTTATCGACCTAGAAAAAACGATTCAATATTAATATTCAACCATTATTATCATTTATTATATCATTGATAATTATTTGTAAAAAAATTTAATGTTTTTAATGTTTTTTTAAAAAAACTTACAATTAAATTAAGAGTTGGTTTATCATATTTTATATCGAATAAAATACCAGAAGTAAAGCTTTCGCTAAACATTTCAAGTGAGCTCTGTGAACCAGCTACAGCCAACCAAGAATTTATTACTTGATATGTTAATATCCGCTGTTGCCTGAATACAAAAAAGTTATAATATAGTATCTATTTATATGGGATGTAAATAAAACTTACAGATTAGGTCTGGTTGTGCCATATATATAGTTAGATGAACTTAATTGAGTCATATTTAAAGACTGCAATAAAATACGACAAATTGATATTCCTTGAGGAATCAAAATTCTTCCGCAACTATAAATAATAATAGCTATTTTTTTACAAGCTAAATTGGTAGTTATTAATTTTAATCCATAAAGTAACTGCAATTTATACCATTTAATAAGTGCTGAAATAGTTTTGATGACAGAAGAATGCAATTTCCACAAAACAGAATCTAATGCAATTACATCTTCAGTTATCATTGTAGCATTAAGTTTTTCTGAAGTGACTGATAAAGTACTTAGAGCAAATTGAATAACTTTGTTAGAATCAAATCGCTTTACAGTAGAAAACATTGATCTAAAATTATAAAATAGCTAACATTTTTTAACTGTAATTAATTTAAAAATATTATTTTTTATTATATATATTACAGCAACATTGACTGTATTGCAGTGTTGAAAAAAAGAAAAACTGATGTTAATTTTTCATAACGCTCATTTGGAGTACAAGTTATTTGTCCAAGTTCAGATAAATTAAAAACTGAAATATCAAATTTGCCTTCATATTTTGAATCTACACTTGAAAAGAACTGAAACATTTTAATTGTTTATAAAAGTATTTAAAATTATATTAAATTCATATTTCTTACATTCAGGTTTGAGTAAAGCTGATTCAAAAAATATGAGGCACAATAAAGATAATCATTAAATTGGTCAGTCCAAGCCTCAACATGGTTAATACCTTGCTGTCCACGGCCACCACATTGAGGATATAAAGCAAGATATTTAGTAACTTTGAACATAATATTGTCATCTTTAAAGCACTCACACAATGCTTTAGTTGTAAATTTATCCAAAGAATTCTGTAGAAGCAGTAACATTTTATTAAAATAAGTTAAGTAAATCAATACAACATAAAAATGATATAGGGACATAAAGCATTACCTTGAATTGACTACATGTTCCACCATAGTATTTCATGAATAATCTAATAATAGATGCTTGTGCATCTATTGTCTAAAAAATAAAAACAAATTTATATTACAATAAAGTAGTGAACATATTAGTTAAATATGTTATAAATAAATAAATATATAAAAATAATAACAAATAATAATAAATTATTGTTTACAACATTGTTACAAATTATTTTCTCATATGAGTTATCTGGATTTTTTATTAGGATAAAATAATATATAATATTACATAATTCTTACAGATTTATTAACTTTTCTTGAGACTATATTTTCAAAAAATGTAGGAAGGACTGAATTGATTATGTGCTTTTTAATGTCAACATCGGTTAAAGTTGATGAAATAAATACATCTGAAAAAAAAAATTGAAATACAAGTATTACATTTCAAATTCATTTTAATAAACACAACTTATTGGAAATAAGTTCAATGGCAGTTCATCTTAAAAGATAGTTCTGTTTGGCTATAGATAAAAGAATAAAAAAGGACACCTTTACCAAATATACTTCTAAGTAATACATATATGAATAATATACACAATACAGATTAATAGCCAATAGTTAGTTACATATACTACAACATTAAATAAGTACTTTGAAGTTACTTTAATGAAATTTAATTTATATACCTACCTATTAAATAAACTTGAACTACATATGAATAAGGTATTAAAACTTAAATTCTAAAATAATAAAATTATTTACGAGTCAGTACCCTAAAATATCAATTGCTATTGAAATTTTAATTAAGTAAAGAAATTTAACTACACATAAACAATATATTTAATTAAAAATTTTGTTAGCGTTCCTTTTTTTTAATAATACATTTTAAGTTACTGTAAACTGTAATTTGTTTTTGTAAAAACTATAGTATCAATAATAGGAACCTGTAGAGAATTGATTGTTGGTAATAACAAATTATACCCATGATAATAGGTTTAAAAACAAAGAGTAAATAACATTTTTACTTCTTTGTTAAGTTTACTTTAATCTTAGAATGTATAATATACAAATTTATATTTAATATATTGGGACAGGTTCTTGCACAGGAATCGTCAAAAACAGGGATTCAAAATCATATAAGTTATGTTAGGTAAGAAGTCAAAGTTTGAATATCCATGATCAAAATTCAATAAATGTTAACAAATGTCTGAACTACTTAATAGCTGACTTGTTAAAGAAAATGCGTTCTATTAATGACTGCATTTACAACGATAATCAACAGTAGGTGAAAAATACAAAAAATTCAGTAGAAAAAGACCTAAAATTGTGAAAATTAACACGGTTAAAACAAACATAAACAACTATTTTGTACTATTAATTTTCAAGACAGTTTAATTTTTAAAGAATGAGGACTAGGTATATTCTGAGTAAAAATGTTTGTATATAGATCCTCAACGGGAGCATTAGAACTCCCAACTACCACTTTGTGTACAGGCCTGTATTGGGAAATATGGACTGTCTCCTCCTAGTCAAGAATCTATGGCATTTGCATATATCACACATACCTATAAATGGAACACCAATCTAAGTTAGAATGTTATAAAATAATAATTATTAATAGTAACTTATATTGTTTAAATTGAAATGCTAGACTATAGTACTGTAAAATAAAAATTGAATTTTTTTGATTAATTATAATTAATAAAAAATAAATAAAATATTATTAAAATAATGTTGCAAAATCATAATTACCAAACATTTTGTGATCTTCGGTAGAAAGTCCATAACTCACAGCATTTTTTAAACGCTTTTGAAACCAGTTTACTGCTTCCTCAGACTATAAAAAAAAAAAATTTCAAATTAAACCCATACATAGGGTATGTAATTGTAATTAATTAATGAAATTGTAAAATTATAAAACAAAATGTCTAACAAACCTTTAAAGTCACAACTTGTAAACTCATGTTAATATAGTTATAATATGTATCTATGAAATCAAAAATTAAAAATGTCTCTTGAAGTAAGTAATAGTTTTAAAATTTATAAAACAATACTAACTAGAAATTTTAAACAACGTATGTCAATACTGTTTCACTATTGCACATGGCTCACATGGTTATGGTGATTGAATAAAACGTGATGAGAGTGATAAAACGATAATAAATCTATAAACTGATAATTCTTATCAATATGATAAAATTATAAATGATAATATTAATATTCAACGAAGTTTAGACCAAATTTTTTGATTACATATAGTTTTTGAAAGCTAAATTAATTAATAAAGTTGGGTTTTTACATTTAATTTGAAATCATATAATAGTTATATTTAAAAAAATAATGAATTTTAATTTCAATTAAATCGTACAAATATTTCAAATATGAACAATTAGCAGAAAATTACTAATTATAATAATGCAATTAAATTTAAATAACTATATATATTAGACAGTTACATAAAATTTCAAACCAATATTATTGTAGTTATGTTAATTTACTATGTATATTTTGCATGCAGTATACATTTTTTGCAAAATTTCATAACAATTTTTAATATTTTTTAAGTCACTTGTTTGATAGATATTAGGATATGCGTAAAAATATTGCGACCATGGTTGACCAAAATATTTCAGCGCAGTAATTAAAATATAGATTTCTAATGCTTTCATTTTATCTAACGCTACGTCATCGAATAAAGTGTTTATCGAATTCATGAATTGGGCGTAAAAAAACTGCTTGATTCTGCTTAACACATAACATAGATAATATTATTGTTAGGTATGTTATTTATTCAAATGAAGAACATTGCAGCTCCTATTTTTTAGTGAACGCCGACACCAAGTGTGTAGTCCGAAACTGGAAGTATGCACTACAGATTCGAGAAGTGTGTACCTACTAAATGCATGTTAATAAATAAGACTACTGTGAAGGTGTTTTTCAGGAAGCCAGTCTAAGCAAGACAACAGATGAGGACTTAAATATATCTATAACATTTTAAGTTATATATCCCCCATTAAAAATAAAAAATGTGTAGGAGCTGTTACATTGTTTTTACAATAATTTTTTTGAAATGTTCTTATATTAATACTTTTCCGAGTCAGTCGGGATGTTACTTTTTTTTATAGTTGTTCATTTTTCAGTCGACTGATTTGTTATACAAAATCACTAATAGATTTGTATGTGATTTTTTATTATATTTAATTTGTAATATTGGTTAAAATCATTCAAATTCATATTGTTGTTAAAATTTTAATAAAACTAGTTACAGGGAAAATTATACAATTTATATAAATATATTTTAATTATTTTACCAATTACTATACCTAACACTTAATCACTTACTAATTATCGGGCTATTATATTATCTGTTGTTAGTATTTTGGGTTAAAAATAATTTTAAGAACAGGAAACTGTGTTCACATTTATTAATATTTGCCCCAGACCTCTAGGTCATGAAAATATGGAATAAAATCATAGACACACAAATCTACCTATGTATAAATATAGTCTTAAATGTTTGTGAATATTATAAAATATTGTGATAATTAGGCTTAGGGATGCTTAGCAAATGCATTTTCTGAGAGCTTTTTTCTAGAGGCGGCAAAATTTGATTTTCCCTAGTGCATTATTTTTGCTCGGGCCGGCCCTAATTGAAACTATAGACATGGATGATTAGATTTCATCTCAATCTCAAGCACAAAATTATGAGATTCATCATTTTTAAATTAGGAATATTTAGGTAGGGGGACTAAGCCTCCCCCTAGTTTCACCCATGCCTATAGTCGCGGTTTCCTTCGTGAATGTAGCAGAGGCTAAAATATATAATTTTTTGTAATGCACACTTAAGGATTTTCTCATATTCCCTTTTCATACGTTAATAGTAATGAATAACACAATGAAAATAGTTGGAATTTTAAAAATATGTATAATAATTTAATAAAAAATGTAAAATTAAAAATAAATACCATAATATAGATAATAGAATCACAACCACTTTTTAATTTCATACTACAGACTTAACATTTCGTATTACACAGTGTACTGCACACAATTTTAGTCCCTGGAATGTAGGAAACCACGGATTAAGACCAGTGACAATCTCTAAATAAAAATAAATAAAAAACTACTTTTATGAATCATTTTTTTTAATATGTACATAAATGCAATGTTCATCATTGACATCTCTTGGAAGTAATCGTACCATTATATCAACAAAAACAGGAATATTGATAATTTGTTTGTAAATGCCGAATTGTTCGTAAACGTGCCTTCTTATTTGCATAAAAGGAATTCGAGGAGAAATAAGCCTTTCAGTGATGAAATCTATTTTTGGTAAATGTTGTGGTATTTTTGGATAGTGAAATCCATTATAAACAGAAAAATTAGAAATGCTATTTTTACTTAATGCTGATTTACAAGTAGAGCAAATTTTGAGTGCATCCACATTTTGCCCGTTAGTTATTGTGTTAATAATATTTCCAGTTACAGATGGTTTCTTTAAATCTTTTTTAAACTAAAGTCGATCGCAGATTGAGCAAGCATGTCCAAATTCATTATTTTTGAAGCTATCGTTATATGCAATGAAATTTATGTGAATTTTAATCTACCCGGAGAGTAGATTTTACATTTACTGGCGCACAAAATACACCAAATATATGCGTGCTTAATGCACAGATAAATGCATACTTTAATTATAAAAATATAATTAACTTACCGATGACTTGATGGTGTGTCATAGTTTGATTTTGCTTTCTTTGCAGGAGGCTGATCACTTTCACTCTCTAAATTATCACTGTCAGACATTTTTCTATCAGAAAAATAATTATTTTTCAAGTAAAACACAGGTTATGTGTACTGTAGTAAACAACACTGTATACACTACGGAGTAGTATATAGTATACACTAGTGATGGGCAAAAGTAACTATTAACTACCGACTTAGTCGGTAATATCAAATAACTAATTTAGTTACTCGAACATTTTTATTATTCGACTTATTTATACTATTCGACTAGTTATTATTATTTTTCGACTAATTTTTATTATTTGACTAGTTATTATTATTTTTCGACTAATTTTTATATTTAACTTATATTGTTATTATTTTACTTATTTTTAATTTTTATAATTTGATTTATAATTTTTATTCAACTCGTTTTTATTGGACTGATTGAAAGCTTTTAGCAGAATTATTTTATTCAACATAATAATATAACAAAAAACTTAAACATTACTTCAGAGCAATATAAATTAAAATTTACAAATTTATAACTGTTTTAAATGAATTTTGGGTGTTAAATATATTTTATATTTGTAGTGTATTATGTAAGTGTTATTTTCGGTATTTTTCTTTTAACTAGTTTAAAATAAAAATACGACTACAATTTCTCAGAATTACCGAATTATCAGTTCCTAATTTTATTCGAATAGTTATTAGTCGACTAATTTCATTTATTTTTATTAGTTGGCCTTAAACATTTTAGTCGAATAATTAGTCGGTTGTACGTGATGAAAACCGACTAATAGTCAGTAGTATCAAATAGTCGTTCCTGCCCATCACTAGTATACACTATAGAATCGAGTGAGAGAGAATCGCACAGTCGATTACGCATGGCGACGCGTCGCCACACCGTACACACGACTGCATATGGACTATATACAGTGGCGGTGCGAAATATTTTACTTCATGTGTCCTGTTAGGATTTTGTCCACCCACCCACCCATCTAAAAAGAAATTTAAGGGTAGCTTGTAAAAAGAGCTCCCCCATTATTCGTTCTACATGCTACATACCCACTCGATACCCAATGGTCAATACCCACCCACCTATCTATCCACTGACTTGAGTCCAGGGACTCAAAAATCTGCCGTCACGCAGCCACTGACTATATATATATAACCACGCCAGAACATAGGCGGACATTTGGTTGAATTTTTGGGAGGCTATTATAATTCAATGTAAAATAAATCGTAAGGGCTTCGCCCCCACACCCCTTTCCCATACCCAAGTAAAACTTATTACCGTTAAAAATATAGATATGTTTAAATTTAATTAAAAAAAACACTAAATAACGTATATTTAAAAATAATTACTTAATATTTTATTTTAATGACAAATAACTATTTGTATTGGCAAAGATACTCAAACTATCATTGCTTTTTATATTTTTCGATATATCTTTTTAAGCGATGCTCGTTTTCACCAAAAGTAGACCTTTCCCTTTTCCACCAATACCCGTTTCCACCAAAGGTGTATCTTCCCTTTTCCATCAATATCCATTTCTACCAAATGAGATATTGACCAAATTTTTACTAAAAAAATTGTATACTACGTTTAAATTAAAAGCTACAACACAGAAATAAATTTATTTAACATATACTATTAATTCAATAAATATAAGGCATTTTATAATATATACAATCTGTGCTTGAATTGTGGGGGTGCGGACCTCCTCTACTATTTTTTTTTTTTTTGCGTACCCCAACTATATTTTTTCACCGGAACGGGGGGACGCTACATTCATCTTAATTGATGTCTAAAATAATTTTTATGTGAATTTCAATTTACGTCAATTGGAAAATGAATTTTACGATTTATAATATCAAAACTATTTTTATAATTAAAGATTATATGGTGGTTATAATAAGGGACAACGGCGTAATTTCTGGAAAAATATAAATAGTACCTAATGTCTGTGAATTCGGTGTATTATACTTTATACATTGTACGGTTTGTTATATTGGCGATCAATGATATTGTCATTTCGGAAAAAAATAAATGCCCTCATCACGACCTTAGACTAATCTTCTCAGGCCGTGGCCTGCACTAAAGAGTAAACATAGACAAAAACAAAAACCAAATATATGATTCATTTTCATTGCACTGAAACTTCTTTCGCAAGTAGCCAAACTATGTAATTGGTATTGTTAATGCTATTGTAAATAGTTTTTTATTATTTCTTATTTTATAATTTTCAAAAAAAATGAACAGATAATTATAAAAACAACGAATAAAATTTCTAACAAAGTTTCGATTTTAGGGGGGCTATTAAAATATTTGGAGGGTCTAAGCCCCCCCTGATATCCGCCTATGCGCCAGAAATTGGTTTTACATGCGGCTATAGATGTTTCACATCTTTATCCATGTTCTCCGTGGCGATGCAATAGATGTAGAATATTTTTCACAAACAAAAATCGTTCGATAATTGCGAAGTAATCGAATAATTCGATGATTTGCATGGTTTTCGTACGATTATGCATGGTCCCCGGACTGCGGCTACCGCCGCTGCATTTATTGCCAAAAAATACAAAGACACTTCGAACTCGATCGCGTTTCGCCAAAAGCGCCATCTACAAGCACGGAATCCGCTGCCGCGTACGCCGTACTGTTCGTGTTGTACCGTGTTCCGTGATGACACCCGCGTGAAAAAAGCAAAAAAAAAAAAGAATCTCTAACATGTATATATACTTACTAATGGTACACAATATGATATGTAAAAAATAAAATCAGAAAAATCACGATAATGGTGCGTTAGACACATCGATCGTTTCGATCTCGCGAATTTATCATATCTTCGAATGATTGTTGCGAATAGTTTACGAAAAACGTGTTCTATTGGTGAAGTGTTGTTCCCGAACAAATCTCGCGCACCGCGTATCAATAAACCCTCGGGCCCGGCCTAGTCCACCGAGTCGCCGCAACAGGGTCTATATCAGCTCCGCAGTAAGTCATCAATGACGTCGTTTAGTATAATAGTTGACTTATTATTTTTTTTTCTGTTGCGATTCTCACTTAGATCTCGTGAGTACGCATCTTTGGCCGGATATCATCGCCCGCTGTCGAGATGATGGACTCTCCGACCACACCACCAGGCTATATGTCTGAAGATGGTGACAATAATGAATCTCATAGTAAGTGTACATTTCAACCATTGTTAAGATTTTTCCAACTACATATTCATTTAATTTTTTTTTTTTTGTTTTCATTAGGTATGAGTCCTAATCCTACAGTCATGGGAGTACTCGATACACAACCTGTCTTGTATTGTGAACCTGTTTTTTGGTGTTCAATTAGTTATTACGAACTTAATACTAGGGTCGGGGAGACTTTCCATGCTTCTCAACCTTCAATATCAGTGGATGGATTTACAGGTACTTTGATCACAAAATTATTTGTTGTTTAATGTATCATTTATGTTTTGTAATTCACCTTCATGTTCTAGATCCTAGTAATTCAGAACGATTTTGCTTGGGTTTATTGTCCAACGTAAATAGAACAAATGTAGTTGAACAGATTAGGCGACACATTGGTAAAGGTGTACGACTTTATTATATTGGAGGAGAAGTATTTGCTGAATGCCTAAGTGATTCCAGTATTTTCGTTCAGTCACCTAATTGTAATCAAAGATATGGATGGCATCCAGCCACTGTTTGTAAAATACCTCCAGGTATGTTTGAATATTTTATGAATTTTAAAACCATTCATATACTCAATAAGACTTATACTTTATTTATTTTAGTCTGAATTGAAGATCTATAATGCATTTTATTCCATTTGTTTACTAAAAATTCTTTGTATTTTTATTTAGTATAATGATTAACCTTGTAATTATAATTTCTTTGATAATTTTAATTGTATGCTTATTTAAGCATATATTGAATAATAAATAGTTTTAATTCTTAAAAGGAATATTTTTGAAAATTAACGTACCACCCATAGGTAATGATAATCTACATGACATTTATAAAATTACATTCATTTTTTGATATTGGTTGCCCTATACATTTATGTATTTATATGTTTATGTATGTGTGTACAGATCTAGAATGTAAATGGTAATATTTTTTAAATTAATATTTAATTTCTTGTGTTATTTATAAACATTTTTAAATTAAAAGTTAAACATTTTTTGATTTATGTATACAATTCAATAGTAAAGTAATCAAAAAGTTGTAAACAACAGTTACTCTTAGACATTAATAGTTCATATACAATTATCTAAAATGTGATATATATAATAATATATAATCACATTTTTTGGTATCCCTTGTATTAATCATTGAGTAATGTTAACTTAATTTAATTTTTTATAATTTTTTCTGATATTTATGTTACAAAAATATATCTTATTACAGTAAACGCCATTTACAAGACTCACTTTGGGATCAGCATAAAGTGAGTCTTATAACCGAATGAATCTTATAGGAGTGGGAAAAAAATAAAATATTTATGAATTTTTTTTATGACTTATTTTGTTTTATTTTAATCTACTTAAATACATATTATATATTACTTATTAATTATTAGTGACTAAATGAAATAAATATGATTTAAAATTAAAATTATATTATTATACAAAATATAACATATATATTAATAAAACATTATAAATTATGTATTTACGTACTTATTACGTTGTATTTATAAAAAAAAAAATTGTAGTTTTGGTTTGTTTTGAATTATGTTCTAATATTCCAGAAATATATTGTTCATACTCATATTGTATATTCAAAATATTACCTTGGTGATGAACAGTTTCTTTTTCTACTATTTTTTTTTTTACAAAATTTGAGTCTTATAAACGAAGTGGTGAATCTTATAACCAAATTTTTTATAATGTATTATACGGACCGTTCTAGACAACTTTGAGTCTATTAAGTGACTGAACATTATATCCCTGAGTCTTGTAAGTGGTGTCCACTGTATCAGTAATTATTTTTGTAACACATAAAATAAATTGCAGTGGTATATTTATCATCATATTATTATAATTAAAGATAGATCTAATTAAATTAAGTGGATGTAATAATTTAAAATTATCTAACATGAAGAAATTATTGAATTATAACTTATAAAATTTACTTTCTAATGAAATGTATTGTTAGATTAATGTTCAACTATACTCAGTATATGTCAAATTTTAAAATACTTAATTCAGATATAGATTGAGTAATTATTAACCTTTTTTGTAATGTGTTTTAATAAAATGATTTAAATAATCTTAAAATATTCAGTTTATTATGCAGTTATAAATAAAAAGTATTATTGAAAATCAATTATTTTTTATAATTTAATTTCATCTATAAATCTTAAATAGCATATGAACCTTACTGAACTGTTTGATAATGGATTATAATAATGTATAAATATTATTAAATCAAAATCTTAAACAGTGTTAATAAAATATACATAGCCATCTCATACTATAAGTGGTCAAATTTAGTTCATAATTATGAACAAGATATTACAAGATTATAATAACAATTCTATTATATACTATTGGTGTTAATTGAGAAAATTTTCTGTTAATATAAGTTAATTTAACTTTTTAATTTTTATTTTGGGTTAATATTTTTTAAACTTTCAAATCATAATTTAAGGTTAACTAAAAATTTATAAATCGATACAAGTATATTTAATTTAATAACTATTTTATTTTATAAGTAATAAATTAGGAATATTACCTTGTCAATCAAATCTATTCAGTCATTGATGTAATAGATACGATACTGTTTGTTTTAAATAAAAAAATGCTGTATTCTATTTATCATTAATTATATATTATTAAGGAAATAACTTTTTATTTATAGAATTCATAAAATATTTATGACATTTAATAAGAATGTAATATATTTTAATAAAAATAACAGAAATTATAAAAAAATGAATAATGGAAAAATAATTATTCTTAGTTTAATTTTTTAAAATAATTATTAGACAAATAAAAAAAACCATATTACATTACTTTTTAACTTCAAGATCCTGTTTGATAACCTAGTTAACACATTTAGTAACTGTTCTATAAATTATTTGATTTACTTTTATTTATAAAAAATACCTGTTTTCCATAAATAGTTCTTAACTTAAACTTGTTTAGATATTTATTATTCTCAGTTGGTGAAGAAAATTTCTTTTATACTAATTTACAGAATACAAATTTTATATTATTCGAGTTCAAACTTTTTTTTAAAAAAAAAATAATAATTAACTTAATCAATTATTTAACAAGTAAATATTTATTTTATTCATTTAGGTATAGTTTTATTTATTTATTTTTTAAATGCCTGTAGTTATTTATTATAAAATAAATAAAGTTATTACTATAAAACAGTATTTTATTTAAATTAAAATGTAATTATTAATTATTTAAACCATTTCTTTGTATGTTAATATATATATATATGTTAAGGTATATGACCGTAGTAGGCGAATTTTGACAGTCACCGGTGTATGCTCACATTTACCAAAAATCGTAGTGAATGTTGACAAAATGGTCTTAACGCGTTCATACACCGGTGATTTTTGACATTTACAATCAGTGTTTGGTAAAAGTTGACCACACTTGAAGCACGATGTATGTAAAAGGTATTTTTGTATTATTTTGTAGGCTCAATAACATTTTCGATTAGGTTTGACGTTATCGCCCAGTCGCAATATGCATTCAAAATATTTGGACGTCAGTAATGTTATCAAATGAGAAAATCCGATAGTCAATCGTTTAATCTAGATCTAGATCGTCAATCTAGATAACATAATATAAACACTCGTCAGTATCGTTGCATATTCTAAACCAAGCGCAACAGTAACTGTTATAAACTATTATAAACTGTTATTAAAGGATTTAATAACAATTTATAATATTATATTCGAATTAAAATTAATAATGGATAAAAATATGAAAGATATTTTTTATATGTTATTAAACATGTCAACATTCACTAAATAACTATTGTGCATGTCAACAAATACTGGTAAATGTCTGCATTGTGAGATATTTGAAATAATTGATAACATTCACCAAAATGATCGGTAAATATCAACATACACCGGTTACTGTCAACATTTACTACCATGCGGTCATACACCTTAACATATATATATTATGTATCCATTTTAATTTACTTTTTAAAATTTGAATTAAGGGTGTAACTTAAAAATCTTCAACAATCAAGAATTTGCATCTCTTTTATCTCAATCAGTGAGTCAAGGTTTTGAAGCTGTTTATCAATTAACTCGTATGTGCACAATACGTATGTCTTTCGTCAAGGGATGGGGTGCTGAGTACAGGTAATTAATTTTTATTTTTGTTTAAACTTTATACCTTATCTAAGTATTTAAAATGAATTTTTAACATTTTCTTAGGCGACAGACAGTCACATCTACACCATGTTGGATTGAACTGCATCTAAATGGACCCTTGCAATGGTTGGACAGGGTTCTTACACAAATGGGCTCACCCCGCTTAACATGCAGTTCTATGTCATGATTTAACTAAAACTCAAACCCACCTTTAATATTATTTTAATTTTAATTATAAATGTATATAACCCTTGGAATGGCTGTCTAGTGTAAGGTCGTGAATTAAATCTGTATTTAACCCAATTGACTTATTAAACAGTGTATTGATTTTATGTTTTTCTAAGTAATGTGACAAAAAACATTTGTACCAAAATGTTAGTGATAGATGTTTAGAGTTCTTATTGAATAATAGTGATAAGAATTTTTTATTATTACTATTATTATTATTATTATTATTATTAATATTTTTTTTTATGTTAAAGATAACTTATTTTAAGTAATATGACTATATAAATATATATATATATGTATATTTTTTTTTGACATATTTATGTTAGTGTTAAGTTTTAAGCTTTTATTTTATAGGTTTGTTCAGTTTGATTCAAATTGTTTAGTGTTTTATTAATTTAAAAATTTAACTAATGAAGTCAGTTTTGTAAAGTGTATGACTTCTAGTATTAATCTTACATATTCATCAAACTGTCAATTGCATGTACCATGTGCAATATTATTTTTATTTAATCTGATAAGTTGTGTTTTTTAAACACTCAGAGTGCAGTTAATGAAATATGCTAAAAATATTTAACATTAAGATATATTCAATTTTTAATTTTTTGTTTATAAAGTTTTAAAATAAAGCTCATTATATTTTGTCAGATACATTTTATATATTTTTATTTTTTGTATACAGTTAAAAAAAAATAAATTTCTATTCTTCATTTTTAGAAATTACATAATTTAAATTGTGAAAGATTTATAAAAACATTTATTACTATATAAATTGTATATTATTTATTAATTTTGTTTTATAATTTTTATAAATTTTATTAACTTTCTAAAATAAAATTGTATTTATAAAAATTAACTAATGCAAATATAGGGTAGTTTATTATGTACTTAAGAGTACCCTAATTTACCAAGTTGAAAATAAGAAAGTTATGTATAGTATTGTTTTTTTTTATTATATCAATTTATAAATGACAAAAACTCACATGAATATTTTAATATCTTTATCTTATTAAAAATAATTTATTTAAGCTAGGTAATATAAGAATATTAATATAATAAAATTTATGATTTATCTAACCTAAAGTTGAATTAGTGTGGTTAAATTTGAATGTGTGTTCATAATAAAGTAAATATTATCAACAATTTTATTTGACGATTTGTCCTTCCATTTTAATATTACATTTTACATAAATATTATATTAACTGGTATAATATAAATATTATTTAATGTAGACTGCTTTAAATTTGTAAAACATAAAACTATAAGTTTGCCTTAGATTATTATTTTAAGTGGATAGCATTATACATATTTATTTTATAAAAGATTATCTAGTTAAATATGACCTCTTCAGCCAGGCCTGCATTAAATTTGATTGTAAAATAAAAAATTTGGGTTTCATAAAATTGCCCGTTATATTCATAATTTGTATTGATTATTTTTATAATTATGTAGAAAATCAGCGTGCTATTGTACGAGTAGTTTCAACTTCTATATTTTTTTGATTCAGTATATAATTTACTATCTACTAAAATATTTCTACTTTTTTCTAAAGAATACTGACCTACTTTTTAAAAATATATTTAGAAGAAATTATACATTTCCATTTTTTATACTTTACAAATATGAACTATAGAAGAATTAGTAAGTATACTTTTTATAGATATTAATATACTTAAAAATATGTAAACATACTTTAATCTATTTTATTTTTTTTAATGGCTATATTTGGTTAATGGTTTCTTATATGGATATTTTTATCTATATATTTTTAATGGACATTTTTAAGTGATAGATTTAAATTCTGATGTACAAAAATATTTTCCTTCAATTGTTAATAATAATCCTTTAATTTGTATGAAATCTCTTTCTTGTATAGTTTTCAATTAGTGCTTGAGATTGAGACTTAACATTTACAACAATATTTTAATGTTCTGATACAAAAATTAATACAATATTATAATAATAATACAATATTTATTGTTCATTGAAATAAAAAATAACTGAATTATAACAAATTTTTAAGCATGTATGTATACTATCTAACTATGTATGTATACATGTATAATAAGTTTATTTATGTATCAAAAAAAAAAAAAAAAAAAATCTATTTTAAGATCATTTTAACCAGTGGCTTACCCTCGAAGAAGAAATATTTAAAATATTACTTACAGAAACCACGTAAGTGTTGTATTTTATTTTGAAATAAAAAAATATTTTATATCATCTTAAAGAAAATGTTGTTAGGACTAAGATTAGAAACTAATTATGTTTATTTAAGATTTAATCTAATCATATTAATATTAATTATTGTTTTGTGAAACAATTATTTATCCGAACAAATTAGTATTAAATAGTGACTAATAAATATATTTGGTAAATTTTTTGTTAGTCTGACATTGATATCAATAATATTTCTTTTATTATTTTGAATACTTAATATATTATATTATATTCATTTTTAAAATGTTTTTTTCTTCTTAACCTGAATCAGATTTTGGGAACTGGCTTTTCCCAATGTGCATATCACCTCCTTTAACTCCATACTTACTGACCTAAAATTGCAACCACAATTGATAAGTCTTATAATTTAACCTCTTAAATATTTTTTAATACCTAATGAAATAAAAACCAAGGTAACCTTAGTTTTATTTAACTCAGTTATGGAGGGATTTCATTGAACATTAGATATTTCTTGTATTCGTTTTTTTTAGATTTATTTTTATGTATTTACATAGAGAATGCCATACCATTGCACTCAGGTTGCAATAACATTTATTTCTCAGTAAATACGTTTTTTGAGTTACTGGAACATCACTTGAATAGTTAAATATCATTACAATAAGTCTATACAACATCTTTTCTATTAGCCAGTACCTAATTCATTGAAATACTGTAGGTACCTATACTATAAAACCTAACAAACATTTATGATAAAAAAATATTTATGTCCATTTATTAATAATTAATTGTATTCATTATTTAATCATTTTTGTTTAGGCGTTCACTACGTTTCGTTTAAATATAATCTTAGCTATTTCCATGTTTAATAATCATTGAACATTTTAATTTTTGAAATAAAATGTAATCAAACCTCATTTTTTTTAAAAAAAAAGAGATATTAATACTTTAATTTTGATTTAATGGCTATGAAATTAATATAATTATCTACTAAAGAATTCGTCCATTCAATAAAAAAAACCAATGAGACTCCAAAGTCAGGTGAGAAATCGGTATAAATAAATTATATTGTTATGTTGGACTTTTAAACTTATAACTAATGTTAAATGTCTATCAAAAAACGATTCTACGTGAAAGAGGAGAATCAGTTTATATGCCTAAAGATGGTAAGTATAACATACTATTAGAACTAAATAGCTTTATAAGGTAGGTTGAACATTTTAGGTTCTAACCTTTCAGAAAAAAACAAAAGTTAATGGCATAAAGAAGTTTTTATTATGTTATCGAACTAAAACCAACTTGCGAAAAATCAAAAATTTCAAGTACAAATGTCATTAAAATATTTCAAAAATTATGAAACTTAAAATGTTAATATTAGTACCTAGCAAATGTTTTGATTAGCGACGATTAATATTTATTTACTAACAACCTATAATAACTGATATTTTATATCTAATCGAAATTAAAATAGGTACCCGATTTCGTCAAAATTTAATTTTCTTTCAGTTATTTTTTTTCGCAACATTCTGGAAAACTCGATTACAAAGAACATTTTATAAAAATATTGTATCTAACTTTCAAGGCTTAAGTAGAAAATTGCATAAATTTATAACCACAACAATTTGGTTGATTTTTGTGATTTTTGTTGAGTTTTGTCAAAATTAAATACAATACAATGTGTTATCATGGTGAAACCATTACTTACGTACCTAGTTTCACTTAAAATCTAAAATTAGTCAGATATTCAGCTACGTTTACGGATCACAACTTTTAATAAAAATACAATTCTTTGGTATTTTTAAATTTTTTTTTATGAGTTATCGGGTTATTCAGGTTAGGTAGATCGGGATGTCCAGTTTCATCCAGTCTCACTGGTAAATGCAACGAGTCAAAAATCTTTATACACCGATATTTCTTTCAATTTGGTCCACATAAATTTGTTATCTACCGAGTAATGGATGCAAGCTATATATATACATAGCAATGCATTTTTTTTATTTTAATGAAATATGACACATTGGAACGTTAAACATAATCTCTGGATTTATTAGTTAGTTTATTACATCCACCATAATGACAATAATATACTGATAAGTGAAAACGAAATATGTTAAAACCAATATTTCCCGATTGTGTATTGCGATTTCGATTAATTTGTATTTAGTTTTCGTCCGACTGATTTCTTTATGTCTTTCTAGTTTTCTATACGAGTCGTCGAAAATGCACAACAAATCGTCGTATTGAGTTTCTAAATAGGTTCTATTTTGGTATATTCTGTCCATAACACCGAGCAAAAGGGAAATACTATCAGCGGGACCGGTTTATTTTAAATCACTTGACCAGTTTTGCGGAATCAGACCAGTAGCTGTAGATAAACTGGTCACTGATGTCGTCGGTGTGAATCAGAGAACTTTACGATTGCAGTATTTCGATGTACTCGCTTTTGGCGTGAAGCAGAATTGCGTTGTGGAATAACATTCGTGATTTTCGTATATATTTTCATTTTTCTATTCATCATTTATAATTTTTATTGAATAGTAATAAATTGAACAAATTACATTTTTAACAAGTATTTAATAATCGTTTTTACATTGTACTGCGTGGTGAAAATAATAAGGTAAATATTATTATATTCTAATGATTGAAGATAGATGACGGATACTCAACATATTATTTTTTTCATGTGTTCATATATTAATTTTTTTTTTTAATCCATTTATCGTACTATCATTTATTATTTATCATTATTACATATTTTTTAAATTTCTTAATTTGAGTTTTTTATTTAGTTAAAAATAACCGGCCATTCGAGTGTAGTTTGAAATGTAATTATACATAAAAATAAGAGTAAAATGTCTGCGATATTAGTAGATTATTCGATTGTTCCGATAATCATGAGACTAATCAGTAAGATAAATTATATATCAAACATAAAAACATTTAAAAAAGACATTTCTTAGGTAAAAATCTTTAAAAATAAGATAGAATCACTTTAAATCCTAGTTTCCCATAGACACCACAATATTCTATTTACTTAATACACAAAAATATTTATTTTTTTTTAAAAAATAAGTACCTACTATGGAAGAATCAAAATTTTTCCTATTTTTCTCTTCATTTTTTCGTCAATATGGAAAAAATTATTGAAAAAATGAAAATGTGTTTTGATTAAAATACAATTTGAGTTTAATATTTTTACCTGCGTTTTTCCTGATTAGAAGAAACTGTTTTGATCACAAAAAAAGAAATTAATAAATATTTTGAATGTTTTTCCTTTTTTTTTAACGCAATATTAAGCATAAGCATTTAAAACAAATATATACATACAATATTTTTTAGCTAATACACTTAAAATATAAATAATTTTTAAACATGTTGGTACAATTCGTGTATTTTAAAAGCATTTATTTAAGAATTTTCGTTAGTATTTTATAAGAGAAAGTTATATTTTTTTGTTTTCTGATGAAAATAAAATTAGGTTCAGAATGCTTTTACATGGGGCTTACAAATTATTTTAATGAGTAATGAAAATAAAATACGAGAAAATAAATTAAACCGAATATGTATGTGATATATGATTCATAAAGATGTGGTTTTTTTTTTTTTTTTTTAATCAAAAAGTGTAACAGAAAAAATGGTATTGCTTTATATACAATGAATAAATAAAAATGGATAGATTTAGAATTACATACTTTGCACTTAGCACCGTTTTAATCAAATATATCTACTAGAGCATTATTTTTATAATTATGAACAATGGGAAAGTAATTTGTTTTCAAAAATAAAAATAAATCAAAAAAAAGTATAAGGACTTAAGAGATAAGTTACAACAATGAAACTGCATGTTATATGTGTTACACAGTGATAAAGCTGCTAGAAGGCTAGAAAATCAAATAGAGAATACTGTATACTGTATATTAGTAACCATACACTTCTCTTTTGAAGACTACTATTTAGAGCCAGGGTGACCAATTTTTTAAGATTTATGATCGACTTCTGAGTTTTTCTAGGTCGTCATGACCAATCAAAAAAATAAAAAATATATTTTATATACATGTATGTTACATTTCCTTTATTATATTTAAAATATCAATAAGTAATAATAACTTTAATTTTACAATTTTAATATATAATTATCAATTTATACGAAGCGATAAATACCGTTATTTAATACTGAATACCTATACATTAGATTATGTACAATATTCAGTAAAACCTGTCTTATTCAGAGACTTGATATGACGAAATCCTGTTTTATGCGGAAGTTTATTATGGTCCAGGCAGATTTTTATAATTATTTTATTATTAATTTAGGATTAAACCCTTTATAAAACGGAACTTCCCTAATGTAAAATGGAAAGCTATTTTTTGGTCCCGTAAATCTTATAAACCTTAATCAAATGAAAAACATATCATAAAATTAACAAAAATATTTTTGGTACCCACATTAATTTTGCTATCCAACAGTTATTCAGGTCAGCGATTAATACGTATCGATGGATAATCACATTTTATTTTAAGTCTATATTAACATTGTTTATAATGTCTCTGAAGTTGTAATTTTTCTGTTGTTTCGTCTCGTTCTACTTGTGCTCAAAATGTCTGTAAAGATTTATTTAAGTTTAAATTAAAAAATGAAAGTTTTAGAAGAATGTGAAAAAGAAATAATGTTAAATGATTAATGAATACTTTTAAATCCAAAATTATAATAAGTGTGGATAAAAGGCAAGTTCTTATGAAATAATTAAATTATTAATTGCAATTTATTAAAGTCGTATGTTTTCATCATAATAGGAAATAAAAAAAGTAAACTAAGTTCAAAGAAAACTGTTAATGATGAAATTAACAAAGCAGTTTGGGATTGGTTTGTTAAAGCAAAGTCTAAGAACATTCCAATTAGTAGTCCAATGCTCCAAGAAAAATCCAAAAACAATATAATTAAATTGAGAAACACTAATTTCAAAAAAAAAAAAAAAGAGGAAAGAATGGTTGGTTGGAATGTTTTAGAAAAAGATATAATAATACATAGAATTAAGTATATGGAGAATATAATGATATCAATACTGATGACGTAAATGAATGGAAATTAAAAATAGGCGAGATAATAAAAAATTATGATCTTGATTGTATTTATAACTATGATCGAATGGGCTTATTTATTTTATTTTTTCGCGCTATTCCTTTAAAAACATTAACATTATAAAGTTTAAACATTAAATTTCAAAAGGAAGAATAACAGTTTTTCTTTGTGGAAACATGGCTAGTGAAATGGAAAAACCTTTAGTAAAAGAAAAGGTAGCTAAGCCTAGATATTTCGAAAATAATTGATGTAAAAAAACTGCCAGTGTCATGGTACTCTAACAAAAAGGCTCGGATGACTGGAAGTATTATGGAAGATTGGTTGATAAAACTAAACAATAAAAGGTTAAAAAAAACATCATTATTTTTTTGAATAATGCGGCTTGTCATCCAAAACTTGATTTGTCAAACATAAAATTTGATAGGATTCTTATCAATACAACTACGGTTACACAGCCTATGAGTCAAGGTATTGTATACTGTGTGCAATTGTATTATTGCCGACTTCTGATGCAATCACTTATTTGTTGTGTCGATAAAATATCAGTGCTATCTGAGTTATCTAAACAATTACAATACTACAAGCTATTCAAAGGTTATGTGCATCTATCAATTAATCAAAACCACAATAAAGTCGTGTTTTGTAAAGTCTGGGTTTGATGAAAACGAAATAGACGATAAGCTACACAATCATGAAGAATATAAAGACCTACACCGGTTATTTAATTTTATGAGTAAATCATATAGCGTTAATCATTTTATAAATTTAGACAAAAATGTATATACGGATAACTTTGACGTGTGTGTTTTAATTTACAATCAATTAACGAATCAATCCAAATCTGAAAATGAAGACAACGAAGGGGAATGAAGAAAATTAATTGAAAATATACAAAGAAGCACTTATTTACATCAATAATGTGGACAAATGTTCGATGAATAAATTTGATAATGAGTTGTTGGAAACGATATCATGGGCAGAAATACATGTTGAAAAATACGTTGTTGAAGAAAGAACCAGAAAAAAAACTTTACCCAAATTTTGGAATTAGTAATTTTATTTTAAAGTGCCTATTTTATTTTATTATATTATTATTATATTAAAACCTACTAAATATGTTTTTTATATTTAAATTTGTCATTATTTTAGAATATTTGATTATTACATTTTATTTAATTATTTACTAAAAATTAAAATTAATTATAGCCTATGAAACTATGATGATGATAGTAATTTATAATTTTTATTGTTTGGCGAAAAATGTTATAACCTTAATCTTGCGGAAAATCATAGTTTTATAATACGGAATTTACTTTTTATTCAGTTGTATGGAAACCTGCCTAAAATGGATATTTTTATTGGTCCCATGCGATTCTGCATAAGACAGGTTTTATTGTACCTACATGGCTATTTGATTTCAGCGAATACTTTTGTTTTTCATAGTTATTTATTACTATACAATATAACTGAATACCGGATATAATTGCGTTAAATATATCTTAAAATTACACTAAAAAGATGCCGAAATTTCAATGAAAATTTATCAAAATTGCAGTATAAATTTATTAAAATTGAAATGAAAAATACATTATAATTAGATACTAGACTCATATCAAATACTAGTATATAATAATTAATTATTTAATTAAATAATATGATGGACATTAACATAATATTTACAAAATATATAATTTTTCTGAATTAAAATTTATAATTATATACATCTCTAAATTGTGTTCTTGAAAATTGTACGGTATGTTACGTAAAATAAGTTTATAAAATGAAAAAATATGTTCAACGTTAACATTTGTTATTGGTGCATATTTAGAAGAATTTAAAAAATTTGGTGTTGCATCAAAATTAACATTTTGATTTTCTGCCATAACATTAGAGTAAATTTTAATAGTTTTATATATTTCATTTATTTCTAAGATATATTTTAATTTATCTTTAACTATACTTTAATTAACTGGGAATATTTATCAAAACATTTTCAGTTTTACTAAATGTGTTTAAATTATTAAGTAATTGGCTATTTGATCCTTCTAAACTTGTGAGTTTTGTGAATAAGATAAAAATAATTTTAAAAATGCTAAACTACATTTAATTACATGTAAAAATTTACGTCGTAATTATATTTTTATTGTAAAATGACTTTAAAAATAATAATTTGTATATTTTATCTCGTTAAGTATACAAAAATTGCAATAATTGCAAAAAGTTGCATTGTTAAATAAAATAGGAATACTTAAATTAATCCGATTCGTATATATATTTGATCAGATTTGATTTACCTGGTTATTAATGGTATTAATAAAAATTTGCAATATCTATTAAATCCCGTCTTCAATTATAACCATTTATATATATGCTTTATTAATTATTATTATTTTAATTTTTATATTTGTGGGTTGAACAAAGATATAAAAATGGACAGAAAATAAATAAATATTTAAATTTTTTTCTGAAGAATTCGAAAAAAAAGTGAAAGGGCAGTCAATCTTGTACGGCACAGCCTGGTCCAGAGTACCTAGTGTTTAAAAGTGTTTTAATCCATATGAGATTCAGATGCTGGATATAAAAAAGAAAATGTTCAATTGAATAATTATTTCAATGAAATCGTTGCTATTCTAGAGTTAAGACGAAAAAAATACGAAATATTTTATGTGCATATATATATTGCTTGGCACAAGTTGAATAATTATTAATTAAATAATTAAATAATTAGTAGATTGGTATATCATATTCATGTATTAGAACACACATTTTTTATACATAAATTGCGATTCGGCAAAAATATAAAGAAACATTGTTAAATGTTCGTAACCCGTTATTGATCAATCGATATTTTTTCAGTACGATGAAGTTGTTGATCGTCGCAGTAGCGAGCTTGGCGATCGTTCATTGCGCCACGGAGAACCGTAGGACCGATGAGTCGCAGCAATACAAAACGCAGAACCACCGACCGTTGACGAACAATACCAACAAGTCGTCGAAGTATTCGGCGCGGTTCTACGGCACGAACGTGGCCGACGTCAAGGATTCCGCGGCCAAGGTGACCGAAGTGCCGACGCTGCAGGACGCGGTGCGCGTGTTCGTCACGTCGGCGAGCGGATACAAAAAGAAACAGGATAACCACCAGCCGGCCGTGACGAGCGCCAGGGCGAGAAAACCGTCGAACTCGACGGAGGCACAGCAACAGCAACAGCCGCGCTTGCTGTTGTACGCCACGACCACCCAGCCGACGGTGGCGGCTGGTGCGCCGGGTACGACCGCGTCCACGAACCCTGCCAAGGTGAACGCGAGCGCCGCGTCCAAACCGTTCACCACCGTGCTGGTCCCGAAGCAGATGTTGGACGCGAACCTGGTCCAACGCGATTACGTGCGCGGCGACACGTCGTTCCGGCCGATGGCGTCGCCGGCATTAGCGTACAAACCGAACATCGACGCCAACACTATAGAGAACAGACGGATGTCGAACGTGGCCGGCGTCCAGTCGAACGCGGCCGGCGCCAAGTCAGTCGCACACGGGTTCGCCGCGAGGCCGGTCACGTACAAAGTGGAAGAGTTCGTCGGCGGAAACGATCAGCCGACGGTCGTTCCCGATGGCGGTCACGGTTTCAGCAAAAAGCAGGACAGATATGATCTGAATTACGTGACCGCCGATCGATCCAACCAAAAATACTCGATGTTCAGTCCATCGAAACAAGAAGCGTCGGCCAAGTACGATCGTTTAAATTACGACGTTCAGAGTTACGAAGTCCCGAGTTACGACACCCCGAAACGCGACGTTCCGAAACAGGGTTCGAAGTATGGATATACGGCACCGGAAACGGTAAAGTATGAACAACCATTCCACAAAAATACTCATTCCGCTGAAAAGTTCCGCGAGTTCTATCCGGCTATCGAATTACCGCCAAAGGACCTGATGTCTTATTCGTCGTACAACACGGCTGGGAAATCGAACGGGCGACCGACGCAAATCGAAATCGTCGGACCGTCGCTTGATTTGGAAACGGCACTGGGAAAGTATAAAGAGTTTAGTAGCCCGCCCACTCGGTTTGCGTCTATGAACTCGGAAACGGAATCAAATGGTCCAGAATTTGGGTCCGGTGATGTAAACCCAAAACACGTGTTGAAATCCATTTTACGGGATATGCTCAAGTCAAAACAACAAAGCGAGATCAAGTCTGGTTCGTCTACTACCATGGACGAATTCATAGACTCGTATTTCAAAACCCATCGGCCTAACGTTGATTTCAGCTTAGACAATTATGATATAGAAACGGGTGAGTCAGTTATTTATCTAATACATAATAGTCATACAACACGTCATGTTAAAATTGTATTGATAGCGTTTGATTTTTGGGGATTTTTATAAAAATGTTAACACTAAGAGATAATACATATAATATTTATTTCACGAGTTTATTATGGTAAAACGTATAGTTGGTTTTATATTAGGTAAAAATAAATAATATTCGTGACAAATTATTATTAATCAACAAATATTTTGAGATAATATACATTATAAAATGTTCGAAGTGTATTATAAATATAAATAATGAAGCTGTTGGCATTAGAATGTAAATGTTTGGTCTGCCTGGATATAAAATTGCATATTAAAATTGGGGTGGAATAAACCAGAATTTTCAAAGTAAATGACTAATTTGACTGTTAAATTTAATGATGATAATAAAGTTGTTTAATATAATTATAATATGTGTCACATAAAAAGAACCATATTCTTAATATTTCGATAAAATGAAGACGGACTAGGGTCTACATTTTTTTGTCTAATATTAAAAAAAAGTATATTTTTAATGAATTGTCATACATAAATGTAAACTATTTTAAGTATGATTTTTTAAAAATAATTCGTAGACATAGGTTTTAAATTATGGCGTAAAACTATGTATTTAACCAAAAAAACTTTTGCACTTTTCATTATAAATACTTTTAAAGCATTTCTCTGTGAACTCTTAATCCATATTACATTTTTAAATTCCTTTTTTTTTTTTAATTAATTTCATATTTACTATATTTACTATGTATACTGATTGTTAGGTAACAAGTTTATGGTGATTTTATTGGAATATAGGATAATTTATTTTAATTATCTTGGTATAATGCCTTACAAAAATAAGAATTTTTTACAAGAAACACTATAAAACATTTAAATTATTTACCATTGAATCCGTATTCCGCGATGAAGTTTCGTGTTTCTACACAAAAAGCTTTGTGACTATGACGTTACTTCGTTATATTTGAAGTAGCATAATGTTTTACTAATAATAGGTACCTTCCTATTTATCGTTAAATATTATGAACTGAAATATATGCTTACAATGTAAGTCATGTAAGTCTAACATAAATGCTAGATTACTACATTACTATAGATTACTCTATAGATATGTTTACCGAATCGTAGTTCGTAATTTTGTAATCCTCTAGAAAATTATATTTATAAAAATTATTTAATGCGTGGGCTTAACCTAAAAACTTAGATATCGCCATAGAAATATATTCACTTGTATCGTTGCTGGCAGAATATAGAAAGTGAAATTCTTATGGTGGAGGAACAAAATATTTAGTAGATAAAGCAGCGGGATATTTTTTAATGATCTCTCTAGACTGGTGTTATTAAGTGTAATAATACAATCAAAACTGATTTCAATATAGTATTATAGTAAAATACAAATAAATAAATAAATAATAATACTTTGATAAGACTAATTTCATAGCAAAAATTGATTTTTTCACCGATAAAATAATTTATTACAATTGGAACGGGAAAATGTTCTTTCTTGTAAACATTAACTTTGATTTACTAATTAAAACTAAGTTCGTTCACATTAGTGTTTTTAGTTCACTCTAAACAAATAAATTAATTTACTCACATATTTTATTTGTAAAATATACACCTTAACCAATGACCGTTTTATAGAATCTTATACATTCATAGTACATAATTTAATAGTTAATAAAATTGAAATTTTAACTCACGTGAATTACACTGTTACTATATCAATTATACTTGTAGCGATATCGTATGTATACGTCTATAGCTAAAACTAGTTCACCTAATTTTTCGCTTACATTTCTCACACCTGTTTAAAGCGCTTAATGATTATCTCAAGAGACGATTGTCTTAACCCATGGTAATATCGAATAATAGTATGAATATTATTATGCCATTGAATAACAATTATATTAATATAAATCAAAATGTTTAGCTGATACAAGATATTCGGTATGAGGCTATGTTCAAGCCGGATCCGCACGTGTCCAATGTGATATTTTATGATCAGCGGGTTACAGCAATTTCTTCTCCGGTCTTGTAAATAAACCCGTCCGCCCAGACTTGTATATATCGATAAAATATTCTTCTATGTTTTTATACCCAATTATACAGCACATGAACTGTTTGTCGCCATGTCGATATACTATTATGTATTTATACGTGTAATATAAATTCTGAATCGTGTCTATTTTCAGATTTCATTCCTCCCCCTCTTATTCCGTGTTTCGTTGTAAATTAATTAATTTTTAATAAGTTTCCTAGAGAAAGTGACGGTTATTTTCTGTAGAATAATTAGGTACTATACAAGAACGTAAATTTGTTGTATATTGAGGTTTAACTTGGAAACCGTTCAACCATTTGTATTAAGAGTCGCATAGATTTTTTAAAATTATTGCATGTCACGGGTGGTACATAATTTGTTTATTTATCACGGTAAAAAAGAAAGGCTCAATGAATAATTAGTTATTAATTTACATGATACATTAATATAAATCAGTACAGTGTAGGTTCTTATTACATTTCAATCAACTTTCGAATGATTGTAAGGTGGGAAAGATGGTAAATAATACACCACGACGTTATTGGTGTGTAGATTTATTAGAAGGTTAGTGAATAGCAAAATGCAGTTGGTTATGGAGTAAGGAATGGAATGAAAGAAAAAGTTGAAAAATGGAAAGTTATAGTGACGAATTTATCTTAACGCATAATCGGTATATTACGATCAGATTTCTTTAAATAAATGTTATTTTTAACAAAAGAAACTTGTCATGCAAATATTTAACACGAAGATTATATTTTCAAGTTTTTTTAACTGCTTCAATTTAATAAAAATATTTTTAAAAAAATAACCAAACGATAAATTATTCAAATGCAATAATTAAATATAATATTATATATATATATATAATTAAATAATTGTTATCTATGCTCAAATTTGAAAACGAACAGTAGGTCAGTGTTGCTTATTTTGAATAATCACAATACTTTAAGCTGACCAATGAATAAAGCAAAACACATACACATACCGATTTCTTGGTTTCTGAACGCAATTTATAAGTCTAAAAGTACAACCAATAAGCAATTAATATTTCAATGAGGTCGAACTCAATATTGAAATAATTTACTCAATAAACATGGCTACCTGTTTTATCATTTATATGAATTACCTCTAAGAATAAACTTAATAAAAGGGATCAGTCCGATGTACTGTCTATTGTTTTATTTTCATACCGCGGACACTTTGTACGTCGAAATTAAATCACGATTATCGATCGCGGATACTTGTACGATCAAAATGTATCTATAATTATTTATATATATTTTACAATGTAGGTATAATGTTAGGTTAAGAATAATGTTTGGTTACAAACAATTATTATTGATTTTGATTGGGTGTTATTAATGCTATTAACATCGTTTTTAATAATATTAAAATTCAGAGCTGTTTTTTCCATTTATATCAGTCCGAATGGCGACAAATACAAATTTTAGGATTATCAAGGAGTTACAAAGATAATGAACAAATTTCAAAAGAGTGTAGAATGTTAACATTTTTGGCGATTTTATCAATTAAGGAAATATCGAATTAAATAGTCAATATGTATAAAACTTTTTCACAAGAGTTTATTCCACTAATTTCTTATTTTGATTCTTCATATATTAGTGGAAAGAATGGCATACCTCTTAGATACACCCTTGAAATTTGGAATGTCAGGTATCAAACATTGAATGATTCACATAGGACCAATAATTTTAACGAGTAATGGAATAGTTCATTTAATAAATTAGTAGGATCAGCCAATCCAAGTTTTTGGACCGTTTTAAGATCATTGAAATTAGATGAATGTGCTACATACATGAAAAAGAATAAATTAAAAACAAACAATAATATGAAGAAACGAATTTATGAAAAGTGAATTCAGCACGAAAACAAAATGATTACCAATCAAGAATTTTTGAAAAATATATGCTATACTTTTAAGTTTTTTTAATCACCCTAATTTTTATTTTTATAATAATTTTTTTTTATTTAATCAACATAACTTGAATTTTAATTTTTAAATTTTTAAACTTTTTTTATATTATAATTACCTAAGTACTTGTAATAGTACAAAGTGTCCGCCATAAAAATTCTGTCACTACCTGAAATAGTACAAAGTGTCCGCGGTTTTAATTTTTTCGACATGATCGTACAGTGTCCGTCAACTCTAATAAAACGACGCGTGGGTAAGAGCTTAAATCCAAAAGTATAATCTATTTTTATTGTACTCATTTTTATTATTACTTAAGTAATTATTATTACTGATATAAATTATAGATATAATTATTATTCTAAGTGCTGATATATTATTATGGACACGAAATAATAGCACCTGGGCTTAGACGGGCAATTTATGTTTTTTTATGCTTCGAATAACTATTAAATCATTGAGTAATATGTAAAATTAGGGACTTCTAGCATTTGCATACTTTTTTTAATTATTGTTAAATATAGCAGAGTGCGAAATAAATTCGTTTCTCGATGCCATGATATCAGATCTAAAATTTGAATGTGCATATTTTTGCATATTTGATAGATTTTGCAGGAGAGTGCATATTTTAAAATTGTTATGCTTATTTTGCATATTTTGACAATTTTTTTAAATTTAAAATAAAAAACTATAGTTATATAAAACTATATATACATATTTCAAATGATCGAAAAAAAATGTACTTCCAGTAATATGCTATCTGCAAACTACCTCACATATCTCGTTATAATTTTTATGTTAGTATAAATAATACTATAAACCCGTATCGATCGTATGGGGTAAAACACGATTGCGAATGTTACACCTTTTTTATAACACGATTGCGAACTGTTTCTTAGGCTACGTTGCCAAGTTTATAATTTCAAAATATGTTTTATTTTGTTTGGGAATTCAATTAAAAATATTTTTTTTTTTTTTTAAGTAAAAACTATACTATATATTATGAATAATAAAA